TTTTTTTTTTTTTTTTTTTGGAGGGGGAGGGGGTCTAGGTTTGACCCTTGACGATAGACGAATTTCTCGACAAAATGGACGACAGGTAACGAGAAGTAGTAAAAACTTCTTGTTTCGAAGGGGATGATAATTATTAATTATTCTGTGAATTTGTTTGGTGACATCTACAGGAGAACAAAGAGTTACGAGCAACATCTTTTTATTCGCAACACGATAATATTAAATAAAGAAAAGTCTACTCCTTTCTTTCAGGGCACACTCTGTCTGTTCAGTCGAAGAGTGAAACTCTTATTTAATCGCATCGCGGTTAATTAACCCGGAATGTATCTTTATCATTTTATTCAAGAATTCCGTGGGAAATTAACCCTTTCTGTAGAAAGCTTCATTATTACATTCAACAGCTTCAATTATATTTCCACATCTTTGTAATGAATAGCATACAGTGGCTGCGAAAGATAATAGAAAACAAACCTGCTAATTAATTAATTAATTACAACCAAATAATATGGAAGTTCGTATCGGTAGCAATTTCAGCAAGGCGGAACTCGTACGACAATGGGAATTAAATGTAAACCTGACAAGAGGTACGGAAAATAAAAAAATTTGCCTCATTAAATTCGATTTCGAGCAAATTTAACAAACATTCGCAATCTCGTATCACGTTTCGGTAATTTCGGTAAATAAATCTCAATTGAAATAACAAACAAAGAAAATTCGAACAAATATATCCCGTATTGCATTTCATGATTGGCAAAAAAAGAAAATAGATTTTAATTGCAAATAATAAACAGAACAGAGTTATGCATCAAGAGATTGATATATTTGTCATCGGTGATTTTTATGAACTTATGAAGACAAATAGCGTCGGACGTCGAAATTTTTACTCCGCCCGTAAAAATTTCTCCACAAAACCAATATGATACGTAGCCAACGTAGTCTCACTAAGTTACTAGGATTTTTGGTCTATGAACAGATTTGGTCCTTGTACGAAACTACGCAGGGGTAGTTTGTGTCGCGAGCAACGACGACGAATACACACTTCGACGTAGGGAATGACGCTGAACACGCTTATCAACGCTAGATCATTCTCCCGCGATAAGGAAATTACGAAAGCGCGAGAGCAAGAAACGTGAAAACGCTCTCGGTTCTTCAGCAAAACCCGAAGGAGACATGAACGGCTGCACCTGACGATAATTTCAATTGAAACAAAATTGATTTAGAAACCTGGTATCATTCAGCCAGCAAAAAAAAAAAAAAAATAAAAATAAAAATATAAAATTATTATAACACAATACATTTGTATCATTTTGTAATAATATTATTGAATTAATTACTGATGTTATTTTTAAATGGTAGTATCATTAGTGGGATAATATTACGTTCGAAGGGGTTTATTGAGGTTGAAAAGAATAAAAGCATCGTGTAATAATTAATTTCTCCACGCTCCGCAGGCGAACCGAGTCGTGCTTAACTTCTGATTTTCTTCCTTTCGCGGTTCTGCGGTTTCGAAAAAATCTGAGGGATACTTGCAGTCTTCTCGCGTTGCGTACAGTCGTTCGTTAAGTCAAGTGTTTGAAACTCCCCTCAATGGAAATAAAAATTTCACTTGCAGTAAACGTGCAAGGGTGAAACTTCGCTTGGATCGTCAGTCGACCCAATTTGCTTGCGGAGAGTTAATATTATTGCGGTTTCGTCGAAAAATTTGGGATTAAACGCTTGCAGTTGTTCGACTTGGAACACCATTGACTGATGTTAATTAAAATTTATTATCATTTGAATATCGATCGATCGCGACGATTTCATTTTCGTAATTAGATTCACTTTGTTTCCGCGATTTGAGAAGAATCGATTTCAACAGCTGCGCAAATCTTAAAATTACAGTAGCAAGTGTGTCTACGCACACTCTCTCTCGACGCTAATACAGATCCTCGTGGATCGCAAATTGTTCAAACTTAATTAGTTTGCCCACAGGAGGAGGAGCAAACGCGAGTCGCTCGTATCTTCACTGAAAACACAAAGCTCGCGGTCTCTCGCGATTTCGACTTGACTCGAAAGAGACACATCAGTGACAATCGTCGTCGTCGTCGTCGTCGTCGTCGTCGTCATCGGCTAAAGACTGGAAGAACTGGAAGCACAATGGCGTAATCAGGCGTCGATCTAGAGAGAAAGGGAGCTGTCTATAATAAATCAGCGACTAGGGATTCTTTCTCTTTCGCGTTTATTTCTAGTTGACACCTTCTTGACAGCGCTCTGACGTGGTAAACATATCAAAATTACGTTGTAGAGGGCCTACTTCCGGTTCACGCGCCGTTACAAATCCTCACGCGTTTATGTACAACGAGAATACAAAATGGTAGCACTGTAACAATCGGAAACGGTAATTATCTCTCTCTCTCTCTCTCTTTTTTTCT